CCCATTAATTAATTCAGGTCATGTATCTTACAATTTACAATCTAGTCTCACATTCCCTTAAAATTTGCTCCAAACTGGTTTTGTTTCCAAAGTCCATTTTGAAGGTGGTCCATGCCTCTAATTTGCCTTTGCCGTGGCTTTCAGGGCAAACAACACTGCACAAGTATGACCCTTGGAAGCAGATTTTGAACAACTGCCATGTGGCAAAGCTAGCTTTTTTGTGCTCATCTGGTTTTTCTCATGTAACCAATTCTACAAGAAAGATCCTTTTTGCATTAAAAAAAGTGCATTTTATAAAATTAAATAACCATAGCAACAACCACTCATATTTTTATATCACTTTACTGTTTACAAAACACTTCTGATAACTTTGGGAGATACTGAGATCAAAATTATGACAGTCACATTTACTTTCACAGACTTACTCGGTCTTATGCATTTTATTGCACACAGAGAGCTTTCCTACTACAGGCAAATCCCTTAGGGGTACAAGGAACGTAGCCACGCACCAGGATCAGAATGCAGAGACGGGAAATGAGGGGGAGCAAGCTTCTGCTCTTAAACATCGACTATGCCACCCAAAGACGATGGGGCTCAGACTTTTAAGGCCAAGAATAAATCCCACAAGGTCAGCCACCGGATAGCGATGGCAGCTGAATCTAAGAACAGCATTGAAGAGGTGCAAGAAAAGCCCCTCGATTGCCTCCTAAGCTGCGTTTTGGAAAGAAGGAGACACCTGTGCTGATGCGGGGACGCGAGGCACAGTAGCAGGCCCCCTGTGATCTGCCCTCCCCTCCACCCTGCTCGGTACCCTGTTCTCGCTGCACGGGGAGCCAGACTGTGACCCGGCCCCAGGAGCACACACAGCTGACCAGTCCCTTCTACGCAGGCCCACTGGCGGGTCAGATAAGCCCACGGCCGGCCTCCACCTTTTAAGTACCAGATAATTATTCTCAGAAAAAAAGGTTCTTTGTCTCTCATCTCGTTTGGCCACTGCCCCGAGCTGGGATCAGGTCACAGCACATGACACATCGTGCTCCCCTCCATCCAGGCCAATCAAGCTTGTAAGGCTCAGACAGTGGGCAGAGGCTTCGCCAGAACGGGCCTCCACTGTATTTTCAGACTTAGAGCAAGTAGTGACTTTCCCCTATAGGCTGAGAAACGTTTCCTCTTGCACATGGAACTAGGAACTACAGGGTAGGGGTGGGAGGGGAGAGGAATTCATTAAAATCATTTGCATTTTCAAGTTCCATTATTTCTGATCCCTCCCAACGTGCTGCCCGGCTGGTGCCTCCGCCATGTGGCAGACGCGAGCTCAAGGTCAACCTCCGGCTGCTAGCCAAACAATTGGGAGGCAGGGCACACTAAACTTCCCCCTTCTTGTCGCCCTCCCTGGCTATTAGCCACCCCTCGGGCACCCTCAGGGGCCGCAAATTTTCTCCTGGCGCCTCCTCTGACTTGTGAAGATTCTAGAGGCTGCGAGGTGAATGATGAGCGAGCACGGGGCCATATGCAGCGCCTTTGATGAGCTGACATCAGACAGCTGAGAGAGGAGCATGGTGCCCTGGCGGCTGCTGTATTGTGGACCCTTTGATTTGACTCATTCTGGCTGCCCTGCGTGGCTGCTGCCAATGGGCCGGCCAGAGAGAAGGTGGCCAAGCAGCAGAACAACGTGGCAGCCTTTCACAGCTGGAAAATCACTTTTTAAAGACCTCCAGGAGGCACCAGTTGGTCCTGGCAGCTGACATTTGATCTGGGGAGTGTGGAGCAGCTGAGGCCAAAGTCGGCCTCCCTGACCCACTCCAACTGCAGGCCAGCTGTGGATCTGCCTGTTCATACACCTTCCTGCCCAAACCCAGGGAAAAGGCCTGGCGGGGATCTCTCTGCTAACTCTTCTGAATGCAAAGGGACAGTCGCCTGGGCACCTCCAGGCCCCACCAGGCTCTCAGGGGGACAGACAATAAATATTACAGGTTCCTGCAGGAAAGAATGGAGTCCATTTCACATTTTGGATACTCAGGGAAATAGGAAATTTCATCACAAATGGTTCCATCTGGACAACTTGAATGGGTCATTCATCTACGTCCAGGTGAGTGACACACGATCTCTTAAATGTGACAGTCACTTTTTAAAAAACACTTACTGAATACAGTTTGTCTGGAGTTTGTGCTGTTTGGTCTAAGCTTAAATGACTACAGAGTGGGGAGTGTTGTACTCAGAGTGACCGTACGGTTTTTCATCTAAACTATGACCATTTGGAGGGTGAGAGGGGGGCTCTTAATAATCAACTCCCCAAATTAGCGTAATCTGGCACTGTTCTAGGTAAACTGCAATTTCCGAACTTCCCTGTTATTTCACGTCATCCTCACGAGATCCTTCTGACAAGAGTGCAGAAGCCAAGGGTGTCAAATCTTTCAAGTATCGTCAGGGTATTAGTCAGATCTCACTCTTCAAAGGGAGGAGCGTGGTCTCTGTGGCGCGACCGTTCGCGCATTCCGCTGTTAACTGGAAGGCTAGTGGTTCGGTCCCACCCAGGGACGTTGCATCTGGGGGTGGGCATAGCTCAGTGGTAGTGTGTGCTTAGCAGGCATGAGGTCCTGGGTTCAATCCCCAGTCCCTCCATTAAAAACACAGTAAGTAAGTTAAAAGGGAGGGACATTGTACGTTTTGGGCCACCCTGAAGCAAAGTGAAGCTCACATTTCCAGGTTTTGGAAAGAGCACTGGACCAGGGGTCAGGACGCGCGTTCTCAGCCTGGCTCGGCCGCCACGAGGACTGGTGGTCCCAACCTGCTTGTTGTCCTTGCTGTAACTACTGTGCTAAGAGTTACTCTTTCTTTACCCCAAGGATTTTTGTTTTGAAGTGTAGTTGACTTACAGTGTTGAGTTGGTTTCAGGGGGACGGCAAAGTGAGTCAGTATACGTAATATTCTTTTTCATATTCTTTTCCCTTAGAGGTTGTTACAAGATACTGAATGTGGTTCCATGTGCTGCACAGTAGGTCCTTGTTCTTTATCTGTGTTACATATAGTAGTGTGTAAATGTTAATCCCAAACTCCTAATTTACCCCCCTCCCCCCCGCTTCCTCCTTGTAACCATTGTTTGTTCCTGATGCCTCTGAGTCTGCTTCTGGTTTGTAATAAGTTCATTTGTGTCATCTTTTTAGATTCCACATAGAGTGACATCATACACTTGTCTTTGTCTGACTTACTTCACTTAACATGACCATCTCTAGGTCCTTCAGGCTGGGTGCTGACAGTTACTATTTGTTGAGCACTTACTGTGTACCAGGCTCCGTGTTAATTAAGAACCTGGGCAGAGTAACAGCAGAGCAGGGCTTCGCTATACGCAGGCACTAAGCTAAGAAACTTACAAGCACAACAATCTACGATGCATAATCGTCCCTATTTCACCAAGGAGGAACCTGAGGCTCTGAAGAGTGAGGCGGGTCTGACACAAAGCTCGTGCTCTTAACCACTACACCACGTGAGGAGCTTGCCAAGAGCTGCCAGAGATCCACCTCCTCTTCCTGCTCCCCAGTGACACTCTCGGTGTTAGCTCTTACTTATTTACATATGCATAATATAAAATTTTATTCTGTGGCTTCACAGGGCCCCCAAATGTAGGGGGCACGGCCAGTGGTCAGTAGCACGAGATGTGGTAGGGCAAAACAGCTGAGAACGAGGATGACAGAGATGCTGTGCAAACGGGAGTCCTCAAGCAAGGCTTCAAGTACCAAAGAAGCCACAAGTGCAGAGGATTCCCCAGCCCGCGGCGGACCTCAGTGGACAGCCGGTGGGGGACGCGCCGTGGGCGCTTGAAAGCCCCCCTCAGCCTCCCGGTGCGGCCTCTGCGTGAGCATCTCCAGGGCAGGCTGCTCACTGCTCACCAAGGCGCGCACCTCCTTCCACAGCCGTGGGGCCATTATGAAATCGCTTCTGACGCTGAGTGCAAATTGGAAACCCCCGTAATTGCCTCTTCCTTAAGCCCCTGAGAGCGGGGGTCTGCTCTACACACTTTCTTCTTTTGTTAAAAAAAATTATCTTATTTTAATTTGAATTTGAATTTACTCATTTTATTATTTTTAATTATTTTTTTTGCTAGGGGGGAGGTAATTAGGTTTATTTAATTAATTTATCTAAACGAAATTCAAAATCTCCTTTATTCTCATGACATAGAATGTCCTCTATGGCAATGCTTGTCAAACTTCAGAATGCATAAAAATTAATTAATTTATTTTTTAAGTGGAGGTTGGGGACTGAACCCAGGACCGTGCCTGTTAAGCATCCACTCTACCGCTGCGCTTTGTCCTCCTCCCCTCTACACACTGTCACGCAGAGAAGCTCCTCTGTTTACCCACAAGCTGCGACTCTCCCCCTGTCCTTAAGTCCACTGGGTTTCAGGCCCACAGTGACTGGGGCAGGCTATGAACTCGGTCCCAGGGTGCATTTTCACAAATACAGGTATAAGCTGCTGCTTCAGAGCTTTCCAACCAGACCTACTCTTTTTCGGGGGGGGGAGCAGATCATTGGTCTTATTTATTTAACTGTTAACAGAGGCACCAGGGATTGATCCCAGGACCTCGTGCGTGCTGAGCATGCGCTCTGCCACCCAGCTTCACTTCCCCCTAACAGACCTGCTCTCCCCTCTGATGCTATAGCTGGGGCTTCCTTCTTCACGTATCTACACTTTGGCACCGTCTACACTGATCATATCTGTCGAGCGTCAGAAGCCTCCTTTCCTGTTGATCCCCCTCAGCGGCACGGACACCCCTCAGCAGAACCAGTCCAGCATCTGTGTTCCAGGCCTCACGCAATTTGTTTTGACGCTACAGAGATCTGAATGACCTCCAACCTAGAAACCCTCTATGGCCTGTGACAGGCCTTCAGTGTGTTCACCAAACTAAGGCTCCAAGTTCTCAGAGTAAATCTTTAGCTCCAACATGACAGTCTAGGGAACTCACCTTCTTTCCCTTTTGAAAGCTGGAATTATACTTGCTCACCTTCTTAGCAGTCTCTTTAAAAATACTCAACATTAGATAATACTCTCCTTTCTCTTCTCTTACCAAATCTTCAATGAACATCTGAATGTAAAGCTATTCTTATTCTTCCAAAACAATGAAAAAGGAGCAGAGCGGAATCAGATGCAGCCTGAAATAAACCACAGGTAATGACTTAAAATTAATAAGACTCACTATGGTAACATACTACTGACTCTGCAAGATCTCCATTATGGGAGAGCTACGCACACGCATGTCCCAGATTAACTCTGGACTCAAGCAGAAGTAGGTTCTGCATATGATCCATTCATTCCTATGACTTCCTGAGGTGCCAAAGAGTATGAATTATTATCTTCATTTTAAGGATGGGAAAAATCAGACCAAGGCCCTCTTGCCCCCAAATTCCCTAGTTTGTGAGTCAATGTTCACATGTGGCTGTTCACCCAGTGCTCTGACAAACACTGGACGTGTTTAAGAAAACTTAAGCCAAATGACCAGTGGACATAGAATTTGGACTTTAACAGATTCATCCAAGCATTATTTTTACGAGCGTGCACACAGAACCTGCGCTTAGCATTCTAAACTCAGTTGGAAAGCAGATTCAAGGATGATCTGTCGGTCTTAATCACGTTCTGGGAGAAAACGGGCAACGTCTGCTGTACTTTTGATGAAGTGTATCCCACGTGCAACTCCGGAGTGCGGTACTAGGCCTCCTTCGGCTGGAGAGGGGCTGTGCTGCATCGGCAATCTTATCTGGCATTTGAACACCTATGTCTACATAGATGTTTCTTCATTTTGGTCCTTTGAATTTTTGTTTAAATTCCCACCATATAACCACCACGTAGATGTCTGGGAGAAGTCTCTTGCGTAGAAACAGTGATGAAATCCCTCTTCGCCAGCCTTCGTCAGATGTGTGTATGTGCTAGGGCGTGTGTTTGTGTGTGTGCACAGACAAGCATCTACACCGATACACCTGAGAGCGAGCTTTTGAGCATCTACCATGTGCCAGACCCAGAGCTAATTGCTGTCAATTCAAATTAAAATAAAATAACTTAAAACTCACAATGCAGTAAAAGAAGTGAATAAATAAATACTAAGGGGGAGGGTGTAGCTCAGTGGTAGACCATATGCCTAGCGTGCACAAGGTCCTGGGTTCAATTCCCAGGGCCTCCATTAAATAAATAAGACTAATTACCTCCCCCTCCAAAAAAATTTTTAATAAGTAAATAAATACATAGATACATACATACTATAAAAAAAAAAAACAGGAACAGCCTGTTTGAGACACCAGTGTGCACTACAAGAGGAGAGGCCATCAGAGAAGGATTTATTTGAGCTGGGTCTTTAAGAATAAGTCAAAATTTGCTGGCGAATAAGAAGAGAGGGCATCCTAGACAGAGAAGAGTCCACACAAGAATCAGAAAGTGTGCGGCAGGTTAGGGTGCTGTGGGAAGCTGGACGTAGTGCAAGGTAACGCACACAGCAGTAGGTGAAGCCAGATGAGCTGGTGAGGGCAGAACACATATGGAAGAGTCCTGAACATCACGCCAGAGCCCGAACTTTATTCTGCAGGCGTGGGGGAGGCTGACTCACAGTGGGCAAATGGTTGCAGTTGGTTATGTAAGTGATACCCTATTAAGTTACTTAGGAAAGGCTTATGAAAAGAATTGCATTTATCATTAAAGCTGCACTGTGTACCTCAGAGTTTTCACCCTTGGCACTATTGATATTTGGGGGACAGATAATCCTTTGTCCTATGCTTTGAAGGTGGTTTAGCAGCATCCCTGGCCCCTACCTTCTGGAAGTCAGTAGCACCTGCCCCCTGTTGTAACAACCAAAAATGCCTCTAGATGTTTCCAAATGTCTCCTGGGGCCAAAACTGTCCCAGTTGAGAACCACTGGTGACCTGCTGTGGTGAGTACTAAGCTAGGAAATTCTTCCAGAGAAAAGGGGAAGTGTAGAATGAGTTGGAGTATATACACACACACACATATATATAACTATTATATTTTCATTCCTATGTGTTTGGAGAAGAGTGATGCTTCTGCACATGCTCAACCCACCATCTTGATCCAGAGGTCTGAGCCCATATCCCCATGATGGAGCTGAGGGAGATATTTGCCAAGGTCCAGAAAAACAAAATCATCTGGATACTCCAAAGTAGGCACTGAAGGCAGAGCACCAATTTAGATTTTGTTAAAGATCCTAAATTACAGCTGAGCAATGCTGCACTTGGATTGGGTACTGCAAATTAAACAGAACTATTTCATTCATGTTTATGGTCATGCAGGTTAATTAAAATTTTCTCTTTAGAAATACAGCCCCCAAGACTCAATGTAATTTAAATAGATTCTACATTCACGCAGAGTGAGAATGGCAGCTTCAATATTTAATTCTTGCTTCGTAAACTTTGAAGGCTACAAACACATCCTCCCCAAGTTGTGAACATTCTTTATGTGGGAAGCAACTGACTAAAGGGAAGTTGGAGTTGCTAGGTTACTTGGCGCCTGTGGACGGCTTCTGGATAAAATGTATTTCAATCAGACTTCCTGGAGCAGGTGGGCAAACTGAAGTGGAAAATAAATTCAAATGATCTGATATTGGCTTTTCATGCTAAAACTAAAACTTCCTTGCAGTCACAGACCATTTGAACAGTGCAGGTGTAAGGTGGCCTTGCTGCAGGGAGCATCACATCTCATCTCCTACATGAAGAGCATGAAGCCCTCAGAGTTTTCCGAGCTGAATTTCTCTCCAGAAACTGGGGAAGATCCGTGGAGAGTGAACACCCTCATGAAGAGGCGAGTGTCTTTGAATGGGTCTGCTTTCCTTGCCTCTTCTCTGGGCACAACCCTTTCAAGTTAAAGGACATTGTTGGGCTGGTCTTTTCTTGAGTTCTTCCAGATCTTAATAATAAAATCAAATCATCAGTGTGGGGCTGAGCTGCAGGCTAGTGAACCAGCTAAGTTAGAATCCCCCAGTCTTCAATGGTTGAGGCCAGGAGCTCTTAGAAATCAGAAGAAACTGTGCAGTGATATAGGGAATGTGCATACGATAATGCTGCCATGAGCATCACCCCAAAATTGAATTGCTACTGCTTGAGCTTAAATAGATTGAGGTTGAATAGAAGCTGCCAGTTATTTCTCAGTATTTTTTGTATGAGATCATCGGTATTGGGGCCAAGCAGTGGGGGAGGTGAGGGTTGTACAGAATGAGGAATTCTTCAGAAACCTTCTTCTGCATGACTTGATAAAGAAGCTGTGGTATATTTATACAATGGAATACTATTCAGCCATAAAAATGACAACATGATGGCATCTGCAGCAACATGGATGTCCCTGGAGAATGTCATTCTAAGTGAAGTAAGCCAGAAAGAGAAAGAAAAATACCATATGAGATCACTCATACGTGGAACCTAAAAAGAAAAGAAAAGAAAAGAAAAGAAAAAGACAAATGAACATAAATACAAAACAGAAACAGACTCATAGACATAGAATACAAACTTGTGGTTGCCAGGGTGGGGAGGTGGGAAGGGACAGACTGGGAGTTCGATATTTGTAGATACTGACAGGCATAAGTAGAACAGATAAACAAGATTATACTGTACAGCACAGGAAAATATATACAAGATCTTGTGGTAGCTCATGGTGAAAAAGAATGCGACAATGAATATATGTATGTTCATGTATAACTGAAAAATTGTGCTCTACACTGGAAATTGACACAATATTGTAAACTGACTATAACTCAATAAAATTAAATTTAAAAAAAAAAGAAACCTTCTGCAGAAGGAACTTCAGGCATCTTCTCACCCAAAGGGTCACTTCATTATTCAATTCTCTGTAACGTTTTAGAGTTGGTGAATTTGCACAAAAATGACTCAAAAGCAATCTGGTAGTTAACTTACCAGTTCTGGAACCAAGTAACTAGATACCCAGTTTCCTGGAAAAGCAGCCCCAGAGAAATGTCGTCACCTCTCTGACAACACTCTCGGAAAGTCACGGATGCAACAACAACAAGGTGATTCTCACACCCCAGCACACGTGTCTCTTCTGCACTCCCTGTGGGAGGTTTCGCCGTGAGAAGCAGAAAGGGGTGCTCCCGGAAGAGGGGACAGAGCCGCGGGGAGCAGGTGTAGCAGGAAGGGCATGTTACGCAACCGCAGTTCAGGGAGCGGCCCCTGCGGAGCGGCGGCTGCCCGGCAGGCGTGGTGCCAGGTTCTTCACCTGCGCTGTTTCACTTAATCATCACAGCAAACCTACCCAGAAGACCTTGCTTTCTTCCTTTTTATAGGTGATAGAACTGACGCCCCAAAGGGCAGTGACTTTAAAAAGGTCACACAGCCCATGAATGGTAGAACCAAATTCAGAAAGAAGTCTGCCTGATTTCCAAGCTCAGCCTACTTCCTCAAGAGACCAGGGCCCTTCGGAGGGAGTGGGATGGTAGGCACGCCCATATACCGACGGGAGTGTAACTGGTTTCAACTTTTAAAAGAGATATTTAGCAGCATCTGTCCCAATGTTAAGTGCACACGCCATCAGGGTCAGCACAATCACCTTTTGGGAGTTCGCCCTAGAGAGGCACTTTCACAAGCACACAGCGATATGTGTATAACGGTGTTCATACCATCATGGTTTGTAAGAGGGAGAAACTGGAAACATGTGTCCATTAATAGGGTATCCGTCAATATCGGTCAGATAATTTATGGCAAAAGCACGCAATCAAACGTGCTGCACTCATTAAAAAGAATGAAGTAAATCTCTGTGGACACATGAGAAGATCTTCTCAATATTGTTCAGTTTAAAAAAATAAGTTGCACAAGAGCACAGATTTGTACGTGTGGTGGGGGTACAATCCTCTTTGCAAAAACGGGAAGGTCTAGAAGCACACACAGTGTGCCGCTGCAGACGGGAACTTCCAGGGAGTGGGACGAGGGTGGATCTTGGTAGAGTGGGGAGGGGAACTTTTATTTTTCACTTTGTACCATTCTAATTTGATTTTTTTCTAATAAGCAAGTATTACTTTCCTAATACAAGAAAAATTTAAAGAAGGGCCTTGGTGAACTTAGAAAATAATGGAAGGTTTTTATAACACAAAAATGAAGTGGGTCAGGATCTATTGAAGAATAAAGGGAAGGCAGATGATGATTAAGGA